ACATCAAGAGGCGGAGAAAAGATCTTTGGCTGGCCCGAGTAAAAAAATTACTGAGTTTATGAAAAAAGGTTTGACCGCCAGCAGGAAAATAGCAGAATTAAAAATTGCTGCATTCATATGTGATCACTGCTCACTTGCAACAATTGATCATCTTGGATCACTTTTAAAAAATTTAGATCAATCATCTGAAATATTAAATGACGTTAAATTACACAGAACTAAATGTACATCTTTAATATTGAATGTGTTGGCTCCTTCAATACTAAGTGACTTACTTTTGGATGTTGCAGATAGTAAATATTCATTGATTATAGATGAGAGCACTGCAGTCGATTCCACAAAATGCTATGCGTTATGATAAAATATTTTAGTAAAAAGCAAACTAAGATTGTTACGACTTTCTACAAACTTATCGAAATTGAAAAGGGAGATGCCATAACTATCTCGGCTGCGGTGACAAAACAACTGGAGCTAGACGGTTTAAAATTAGGGAATCTAATAGGAATCGGTGTTGATGGAGCCAATGTTATGGTTGGAGCGCATAATTCAGTAGCTTCTTTTTTGAAAGCAAAGAATAATGAACTTGTTATTATTAAGTGCGTCTGTCATTCTCTGCATTTGGCAGCAGAGTATGCATTTAAACTTCTACCTCGTCATTTGGACTTTATAATCAAGGAATGCCACAATTGGTTCTCTTGTAGTACAAAAAGGCAAATAGCATACAAACAAATATTTGAAACACTGACGGATCAAAAACCACTAAAAATTGACCAACTATCAGGAACCAGATGGCTAGCCAGATACAATGCGATAGTTAAAATTCTAGAACAATGGGATGCATTAAAAATACACTTTGGTATAGTAAAAGATAATGAAAGGTGTTATATGGCTGAACAGCTGTTTCAAATGTTATCAGACCAAACTAATGTATTATATTTCACCTTTTTGAGTTGGACATTGAAAGAAATAATTAGAGTTAATAAACTGTTTCAGTCAGAGTGTGCAGATCCACTGAAATTAATGAAAGATTTGAATTTATTACTTTTCAATAACCTAAGTATTTTAGTACCACCTATGAGACTTCAAAAAATTTCAATAAATAACGTCGTTGATTTCAAATTTGAAGATTACATTATGGATATAGAATTGATAAATTTAGGATATTCGTTCAATTCAAAAGCGTCATCCTTAGCAATTAAACAAGATGAACTACTAATGGTGCGAACTAGATGTAAAGATTTTTTAGTGGAATTATGTCGACAAATTCAAATGAGAATCCCTGAAAGTATGAATATTTTGGAGAAAATAAATTCATTTAACCCCGAATTAGCTACATCCAAGATACGTCAACCTGAAATAACTAATATTGCTTTATCTTTCTCAACAATATGTCCTGACCTTGATAGTACAATTGCAGAATGGAAATCACTTCCTCGAATAAATTGGATAAACCTGCATGATACAGAAAAGTTTTGGGTTGAGGTGGCAAATAACGTCGATGCAGCAGGGGAACCTAGATATAAAAATATTTCATCATTAGCTCTTGCGTTACTTAGCCTTCCATTTTCTAATGCTTCAGTTGAGAGAGCTTTTTCCATTATAAATGTGGTAAAAAACAAACTTAGAAATCGCTTGGCGATTCATAGTACAGATGCTATCATGAGAGTTCGATGGTATCTGTGCAATTTAAAAAATGGTTGTACAGATTTTCAACCAACTGAAAATATGTTGCAATATTTCAATTCTGAAAGAATGTATGATTGCAAAAAGGAGGAGGAAGAAGTTTTAAATGCATTCTCGGAGCTGTAGCATACTACTCGTATATTATGATAGTAAAAAAATATATATTTATGTTACTTGTTATTAGTTATTAGTGTTATTACCATAAATACCATACTCATAAGACAATCTTAGCCAACCTGCAAAGTATAATAATAATAATAAATATCTTTGAAAGTTTTGGGAGATTTTTTTAAACATGTGCTTTTTGGGGGAATTTGTTATTTAGGCTGGGGGACTTATAGAAATAGGTCTGGCAACCCTGCACGGAGATTTAATAGACACCTTGTTGTTAGATAAACGAAAGGTAAGAGCGACTAAACTAGTATGAGAAGAGGTGCCGGGCAGAGACCTCCGTTTGAAAGTCCAAGTTTGTGTTGGAGAGACAACCTGACACCATACTTAAGTGACTATTTTCGCCGAAAGGAACTGTGACAACCCGGTGGAAACCCATGGGCACCTCGACTCAGCAGTGACGAAACTTGACTTTCGTTTAATGTTCCAAGCAAAGAATAAGCGAGTCGTCTTTTCAATGATAAAGATCAACCCATTCAAGTGAAAATATCGCGGTCGGTTGAAAGAGGAAAAACTTTCCAGAATTTAGTGGCAAAGATTGTGCTTGAGAACCAAAAGGCAACCACATAAAAATGGTACTCATAAGATTGTTTGTGACAGATGTTTGGGGCCTTGCATAATGTTACACCCAAATCGTCGTGGTTTCTTCACCTGGAGAACGAGCCGCCACATCGTGTTCAGTTAACTCAACCGTTTTTGAACAAACTGGTATCGAAGCATTGAATCATGCACCTGACAGCCATGACTTACCGCCACGCAATTTAGGGTTTCTCCGTTTGCGAAAGCACAGCTAAAAGGACGCAGATTTACATACTCGTATTTACCTAAATGGACTGGACTATTACCAAATTTTCCTTGGATAAAAATTATGAATAATTCTGAGAGAGACCATTTGCGGATTCATTCCTCGCTTTTCAGAAAAGCTTCCAGGTTGGACAGTGAGAAAGCTCCCAAGTTTTAGTGCACCTTCTGTAAATATTAAAAACCCTCATTTGAATCAAAGGAAGAAGGTGTATAAAAGCTCAGCACTTTACCGTCAAAAGCGTTTTTTTTTTTTTGGCGCGCAGTATTTTTTCTCATTATCAAAGTTACATCGAAAGTGTATATAACTTTCGTAAAAGCAAGTTAAACTAGTAGTCAAACCTAGGAGTGATCTGATCTTATCAAATTGTAGAGTGTCAATGCGACTGCCTGATCAAAGTCCCAAATGATTTTGGTTTTTTAAACTTTTCCTGATCTAATCCCTGAAAAGCAATGAATGCAAACATACTTCTGGTGGTAGCAGAATTAAATTTGTAGAGGGAACAAAACGTTTGAGAATACTATTACAATCAAATTATGTTATTATAAATATAAAACGCGTCGGAGATATAAATACATATTGACAAGCGATATTAAATCAATATTTGTAAACTCATTAATAGTCATTCATTGGGATTATGGTGTCGCTGTTTATCATAACTTTATTACAGAGGAAACAAAAAAGTTCAAATTTTACAGAATCGTTGGATAAGATTTTGTTATAATGATATAGATACGCACATCACTGGTTACTATGTGAGAGAAAATATTTTGAAATATAAGTACCACTCATTGCTTTTTTGTTGTGCTCTATTGTATAAGGTTTCAAGATTTTAATCTCCGAATTATATGTATGACGTTTCAGAGAAGATATACTCTGATTGCTATAGTTTCCTAAGAAACAATGATTGTCATAATATTCCAGGCCATATAACATCTTAATTAAAAAATGTTTTCACTTACTCAGCACCTTGTTCGTTGAATAAATATTTAGAGCAGGAGTTCCCAGCCAAGGGGGCGCGCCTCCCAAGGGGGGCATAGAGAGATGTCAAGTGGGGCGGAAAGCGTTTGCATTTTAGAAAGAATAAACAAAAAAAAATAAACAAGCAATATTAACAAATAACATTACAATGTTATGTTTAATTTACACGCATAAAATTAGAAATTGAATATCATATTCACTTATTCTGTCAACCGCTGTTTCAAAACCCAGCACTCCGCTTAACATTCAACACTTAGAAAACAATTATGTATCTACCAGACGCGGATGAGCATATGTGGCATTCATTCCCACAAACTTGCGAAAAATGTGACGTTTCGATGTTTTTTGAGAAATCTGTTTGAATGTGTCAAATTATTGTGTCTCACTGTTAACAGGTAAGTTTGTGTATCTACAAACTTCAGTTACCATTTTTATTTAATTTACTAAATTGTTGATTGAGTAGAGATGCATTCATAGATCGGCCATTGGGACTTTCCTACCACATCACAATCAAACCAACGTGACGTAATTTTGAAACGACGAACTTCAAGTATTTAATATTGACTCAAAATGTATTTAAAATTACTATTATACGTTATTAAGATAAAATAATGGGCATATAATTAGTAATTGCATGTAGGTATTTTGCTTATTTATTTATTACTTATTTGTTTTATTGTTATTGGTGCAAAGTGGCAGCGAAAAAAAGAAAGTTTTCCGAAGATTACGATAAGTTTGGATTCACCTTCATAGAAAAAGACGAGTTACAATTGCCTCAGTGTGTTAGACGTATGAAAGTTTTAAGTAATGATAGCGTGAGGCCCAATCGCCTTGAAAGGCATTTAAAGCAACAACATCCTCCTCTGGTTTTGAATACGAAAGAGTTTTTTTCTTCTAAAGCAGAATCACTCAAGCAGATGAGACTGGATAAATCAGGAAGTTATCACACAGGTGTATCGTAGCATCTCAATGCTTCATTTGAAATAGCTTTTATGATAGCAAAGCAAATATCTACTATCTACTATCGGTAAAGAATTAATAAAGCCATGTGTCCTCAAAAGCCACGGAGATAATTTTAGGAGAAGATGCAGAGCAAAAAATGAATTCAATAATAACACAGTCAAGCGTAGAATCGATGACATTGCAGCAGACATAAAGTCACAAACAACTAACCAAGTAAAGTTATCGCCATTTTTTGCCATTAGTTGCGATGAATCCACCGACATCGTTAATTGTGCACAGTTGATAGCAGGTACTACATCTGAAGATATATTTAATTCAATATCAAATTTAGTTGAAAAAAAATATTTGGATTGGAAGAACCTCATTGGACTTTGCACAGGTGGCGCACCTGCAACGATAGGTGTACGATCGGGCTTAGCTAGAAAGCTCAAGGAAAAAACTCAAGCAATGGTTAGTACATATTGTGTTATTCATCGGCAAGCTTTGGCTTCCAAAACATTGCCACAGAAATTACGCCAGACTTTGGACTCGGCTATAAGGATTGTAAACTATATCAAGAGCAACGCTTTGAACAGTCGGTTATTTACTTGACTTTGTGAGGATTTCGATTGTGATCACAAAGTTCTTCTGTTCCATACAGAAGTACGCTGGTTGTCCAAAGTCAACATGTCGGCTCGCCTTTATGAATTGAAAGAAGAGGTAATTCTTTTTCATGAGTTCAAAGGAGAACACGATTTCTTGACAATGTTCAAAGATAACACATTCCAATGGAGGTTAGCTTATTTAACTGACATATTTGACTCCTTGAATGAGCTAAACTTGAAACTTCAGTGCAGAAACAACATTATAACAAGCAAATATGATTATATTCAGGGGTTCATATCAAAGCTTCAACTTTGGAGTCAAAGTGTGTCTTCTGAAAATGTTATATCTTTTTCTCGGCTGTTTGAAGCAATTAAAAATAGCATACTGGACGCAAACTTAAAAGCTGACATCAATTCAGAGTTGCCAATATTGCACATGACAAGAAATCCATTTGTTGTCGATGAGTCACAATTACCAGAATAAGTTCAGGAAAAATTTCTAGAAATGAAGGCTGATTCGTCCTTGAAAGATGACTTCCATCTTTTAACATTGGTGAAATGTTGGATCAAAAGATTGCCTGTTAATTCGACACTGGCGTCTCTTGCTTTAAGAATCAACCAACTGGTGCAGAACATGCAATCTCGTCTGTCTCATTAGTACCTACTTTTATTTTATTCAAGTTTTTCGATAGGAAACTTTTATTAGTTTATTTAAACGTTTAAGGTTTCTTTATTAGAAGTAAAATATAAGTCGTTGTACCTACATAATGTGTTTTTTTTGTATTTATTGAAAAAGTGAAGTGTAGCATGAAAATATAATTTGTAGTCCGGGGAACCTCAACAAAAAAAGTTTGGGAAACCATAATATAGATAGACAACGCACATCACTGGTTACATGTGAGAGAAGATATTTTAAAAGTACCACTCTTTGCTTTTTTATTGTGCTCTATTGTATAAAGTTTCAAGATTTTAATCTCCGAATTATCTATATGACGCTTTAGAGAAGATATACTCTGTTTGCCATTATTTTCTGAGAAACAATTATTGTCATAACATTCCAGGTCATACAAACTTTTGAAACTGCAGATTAAGATTATTAACTGGCGTATTTTATTTACATTGGTACTTCAATTTTATTACACTCCTTTATATTTATTATATAAAATTAGATACAAGATAAGACTCAAGACTCTATATGAAATAATATTTACTTAAACTTATAGCTAACTGATTCTCTTTGTAGTTTTGAAACTGCTGTAGGCGACCGTGAAAAACGGCAATGCTAATCCTCGGCCTTCTGAAGTGTTACTTTTTTTAATGTTTATCTTTATTTTGTATAAATGCTCCAATAAACATTATTATTATTATTGTCGTTATTATTATCATTGTTAGTATCATTTTTATTATTATTATTATTTCTTATTATTATTATTGATAATACAAAAAATATGACCACACATTGTCTTTGGGGGAGGGCGGCTAAGTGGTTAGCGCATCGCTTTACTGATCGGTTGCCCGAGGCTCACGGGTTCGAATCTCCACCTCGGAAGTTAATTCCGAGTCATGGATTTTGTGTTGGGTGTTGTCTATATCACGCACCAGATTGATGCAGGATCGCTGCAGCTGGTTTAATCAATGATCAGTTACCACTAGATGGCTTGGTACTATGAAGTCAGCAAGAATAGTCATAGGTGACCCAGTTGTTAGGCCCCGCCTGTCCACCACTACTACTACACATTCTGTGTAACATAACCTTACATTGTGCGCTAGTAGGTGAAAATCTGATGATCACCTACAAATGTTTTTCCAAAGCCAAATTCATATGCCCGTCACATACTCTACACGTATTAAATTATTGGCCAGAAAGTTTCGAAAGTTATCTTGAATGATATCCGGTACAACGTTACAACAAAGTGAAAAACTAACACAATAGAGACGCATCCACCATTTATAAACTCTTTTCAAATAATTGTGAATGTACAAGATTTGTTCGTCAGGATATTCAACGCTTATTTTGATTCTCCTCAAAATTATTTTATAACCCTAATATAAAATATAAAATCGCTCTCATCCAAAACGACGGGCTGGTAGCCTGTCAAACTTGATCGCTCTTGTGCATCGATGGTTTGTTCTTACAGCGTGTTGGCTGTCAGCAAACTGATAGTCGGCGACAAATCATGACCTAGTTTATTCAATTATCTGTCACATCACTGACTGTATATATTGCGTACATGAGAACGTTACGAGTTGGCCGAGGGAGTTTGGACCGATTACTGACAACTGATCCACTGTTCGTACAGAAACTTCTGACTGTTTCATGACTGTCAAATTAGTCATCAGATTATTGTCCAGTAAATTGTCAGCACCCGAAATCAAGTACAATCATTAGTCGAATGTAACCAATTTTAGAAAAGTTCGAGTATTTTGAGTTTCTGTAAACCAGAATGATTTAGGATTTATCGTCCAATTGCCTGTAATTGTTTGAATTTTCCTCTAGAGCAGACAACCAGGAATACTTTCTAGAAAAATAACATCGCCAAAAAATGTCAAGTAGATTTACTCTGTAATTCCCATTCAAAACCCATTTAAAAAGTATGGACAAAAATTCGGAGGAATGTGATTCCATACATCGAATGACCAACTGAAGAAGCAAAAAGTAAGAATTCTGAATAAACATCTGCCATGATTATGTATGACAAAATTTATTGTAAATATGTTTTTATAAAACAAGAATAGTAGGTTTTTTGTTCCTTAGCAGTTGTCTCCCAGCCTTGAAGCATATACACAAACAGTATGTACATTCTAGCTCCAGTCCAACCCAAAGCTGATCGAAAAAGAAACCGAAATGACTAATTTTAAAGATTTTGTGATATAGCTATTTTCAGACTGTCAAACGAGCATTTTCGAATATTGTACTAAATACAAAGATATTTTTTCAAACTATCCGCCTATTTAACAATGATGCTGGCTGGGGTGAAAATAATATGTTCCCTATATATGCAGACTTTCACTGAAAGAAATAAGTAAAAATACTACAAGGATTTAATAACGTCTTTGAATAACAAAGGGTGAACATAGACTAAAAAGCTAAAACGGCTGAGCATAATTACAATAACCTAGATCTGCTTAAATAAGTTTCACAAAGTTCCCAATATGGATAAAAAAAATGAGACAAACTCTAAGCAAAAATATGGATAAACATAAGTATCTGAGATAGCAAAGTTCATCATCATGACTACTTGCAACACTGGTAGGAACAAAGTAATCGCGTAGTTCCGCATTCTGTAACTGTAACCAAAATTTCGGAAAGATTAGTGTTCACAAAGAAATAGTATAGTATTGTGATTCCAACGATTCTAGCAAATCTATTTTTATTATAGAAATACCACTTTGTCCTATATCTTTCTTGTTCTGTCAGCCATTTCATGATTTCTGGTGCCAGACTCCTCAAAAAGTTGGTCAATCTGGATATAAATGCATGCAGGGTACTCAGGGAAACATTGAACCTATCAGCTACTTCCCTGAAGATGGCTGTTTGATATCTAGCAAACCTTAAAAGTAAACAGGTTTCTTTATACTGAGTCAGTTTTCCTTATGGCGCCGCCTCATATTTAAAATGGTTACTACCACGGAATTTAACTGAAATTTTTTCTGCGACTGTTACTCGCTCGAAAATGTTGCAATAATTCGTTGCTGTTGAATTGTGGCACTGTTTCCTCCACAAAATTCAGGTTTTTGGGTTTCATTCTCCCTTCCGAAGAAAATTCGGATATTCCCGCGTGTTCGCTGCTTATATATCGCTCATAGTTTTCCTAAATGCCAGGGCAGCGAGACTGCTATGAGGAGCTTAAAAAAACTTTGTTAATCCGATTTTTAAGCTACCTAAGATTGGCAGAATTGGAAAAAGCCTCCTTACCCTCCACAATCTCGATACACTAGGGGCATAGGAGCGGTCGTATCGGTCAGTTCTGGGTGTACGAAGTTCGACACCTACCGGATGGGAGGCCGAAGTCGGGCGAGTCTGTCTGACATTCCATCGCCGACGGCCCACCGATGCGAAAGTGTCCCCAGACTGTCGATTAAAAAAGAGTCATCGATCAGTAAATGTCTTTTGTGAAGCAATATTAGTCCTCAAGACAGTTTCGACTCATCCTGATAGCTGTCACTGTCACTGATTGACTGGCGTTCTCTGAACTGTCAGTAGGTTCTGTACGAACAGCGGACTAGCTGTCGGCAAACAGTCAGAAACTGTATGAACAGTAACATCTCTCTAATTCTGATTTTGACGGTCACCTACAAGTTATCGACTACTGTACGAACAAACCATCAGTCGCCTATAGCTCAACAACCAATCACAACTCTATAGTATGTTATATCAATAATGAACTTTCCTTAGATGAATGTGTCCTAATATATAATAAAATATGGAATATTGAATTAAAAGACTGAGAAAAATTTGTCTTTTTTTTCAACGGAGCGTCCATTATTTTATTGCAGATTCAAGCTGATTATTTCAAAAGATGAAGATGGATAAAACAGCGTTTTGATAGTTAGTTATTGACGCGACTTTCTAGCTTTGTCCCAACCTTTGGTGCTAGTATCGTACCAGAATCATTCGATTATCGTGAGGTACCCTGTTACACGCATGCGCGGCCTTTCGTGGTTCTAGAATCGTTTCTGAACTCTAAAACGTGTTGGAACGGATTCGGAATCGTTTTATGCCTCAAAATTGACAGGATAGCCGATGTTGCTTGATCTGCCAATTTTTCGGCATAGCTATGAAGAGAGAATAAACAAGTCCTAATGTTAAAAGAGCTTCATGTGAATCATTGGTTTTATCTCTGTACTACATTACTCTGATATCTTATATTACAGTTGCCTGGACTGTGATAAAGATGCGTTTGCAAGAAGTTCAAAATCCCTGATGTAGATTTGTTTATGGACTAAAAAGTATGATCGTATATCAGCAGTGATGAAATAAAATTGGTTTGCTGACTCTGGAAAGAAAACGTACTCTACTATATCTATCTTACATTTGTATATGAATTAGTAACGACCTTCCACCCTACCATATTCATTCGAAAAACTTACACTTTCTAATGTTATAGCAAAGAGATATAACTTGAGCATATCTCGTCACCATTAATCCATTCAAACTATTTTAGAGAAGATATCTTTTTCTTGAGCATAGTGATTTTGATTCTGTGTAACACATTTTTCTGAAATCTTGTGTAGTGCACATTTTAAATATACAAATAGCCTTTGGCTAAATTTCACCCTTCATAAAGCCGGTATATTACTTTTATTATAGTATGAAGCTGCAAATACATTCACTCCAACAAACCATGGAACTCGTATTTGTCGATCTGGCAACATTGCTGGTAGCTGTCAGAATCATCTAACCTAGCCGCCATTTGCCGTTTGTTTTGGTTTATAGCTCTTCTGTGCAGGGGATTCAATTCTCCAAAGCGAGGACGGCGGGTACCAGTGTGAAGGTATTCACAAATACACCAGCTGACTACCGTCAGCTAGTCGCACTGCTGGAATCCATCAAGCGGCCCTTCTTCACATATCAACTGAAGGAGGACAGGATGGACCAGAGGGTCATTCGTGGGCTTCCGAGAGAGATGTCAGTCAATGACATCAAAGAGGATCTAGTGAGCCAAGGCATCGCAGACGCCGAGGTTCAGCAGATGACCTCAAGGACCACAAAGAAGCCACTTCCGCTCTTCCTCGTCAAGACGAAGATGCCGGAAAAGCTTGCAGAGATCCAGAGGCTGGCCATGCTCACGGTCGGCTTCGAGAGGAAGAAAATGTCTTCCGAGCCCAGCCAATGTTACCGCTGCCAGCGGTACGGGCACACACAGCGGAACTGTCGTCTCGCTGAACGGTGCGTTAAGTGTGGAGAGGACCACAACAGCACCAGCTGCAGTCTGCCAGCGCCGCCAACAGGGCAACGAAACGCCAAGTGTTGCCTCTGTGGAGAAGGCCACCCCGCCAACTACAAGGGATGTAGTAAGGCGCCGAAGAAAGCTGCTTCTGCCCCCAAAGCAATCCCCACCACAAATAGGACTTCTTACGCCCAAAAAGTGAAGAAGCCTATGTCCACTTCTGCCCCAGCAGCCGCAACTGCTACTGGAACTACTGCGCAGAAGCAACACGGCGATGACAGACTGCTAGCAATGATGCAAGCCATCATAACCCGCCTGGATGCACTCGAGGCCAAGATGCAAGACAAGCACTAGACCCGAAATGTCTACAGGTCAAAACGTAGAATCTCTACGCATTATCTCCTGGAACATCAACGGATTCAGGGCACGGAAACCAGAAATCCAGGAGATACTAGACCAGTACCAACCAGAGGTGATGGCCATCCAAGAAACGAAGTTGGATGCTGCCCATAGTCTGACGTTCCCGCGGTACGAGACGTACCGCTACGACAGAAGGGGCAGAGGTGGAGGAGTCGCATTACTCGTCAAACGTACCTTGACGAGTCATGTCCTCGACGATGCCGCAGACATAAATGGGGACGGAATCACGGTCCAGGTCCATCACAACCACCGTCCCTACAGAATCACCTCCCTATATGTGCCACCAGGGGAGGCCCTAGACGAAGATGACATCGCTGACCTCCTGAGAGGCCCAGGAGCACGCATAGTCATCGGAGATCTAAACTGCAAGTCTCCGGCTTGGAACAACAACGTCGAAGACAGGAATGCAAGGCAGCTCCAGGAACACGTCGATACCCTGGCGGGGGTCATCGTCGGTCCGGAGCAACCAACCTACATTCCATTCGGCCTTGGGCGACCTGCGGTACTGGACATAGCCATCCTCCGCAACATCAGAGAGGAGTTCGAGATAGAGACCCTGGTGGAAGGATCGTCGGACCACAATCCGATTCTACTAACACTTGGTACAGGGTCTAGAACTCGAGATAGCTTGAGCACCAAACGGACGAACTGGAACCTTTACAAATCCAACGTCCAGAGGAACATCACTCAAATTCCAACCATCCGATCAGCGGAGGAACTGGACAACGCAGTAGAGGAGCTGGAGAATGCTGTCCTGCGAGCGCACGAGGACAGCACCCGCTCCGAGACTACGGCAGTTCCTAGATACCTAAATGGTCCAGCACCGCACCATATTAGGCACCTGATCAGGGAGAACAGAAGACTCAAGCGAGAACATCTCCAGCTGTTGACAGAGGAGTCGAGAGTTGCGCGAAACAGAGCATCGTTAGCTCTGAAGAACGCACTCGCGGAACTCCAAAACAACAGATGGAATGCAGCCTGTGCAGAACTAGAGACCCTAGGATGGTACGGCCTGGTCTATGCAGCGAAAATTTCGTCGTCAGCGCACCACGATCCCCACTCTTCACGGCCAACGCGGCTTGGCCTACTCCAGTGAAGAAAAAGCCGAAGCATTCGCCGATTCGCTAGAATCCGAATGCAGACTCAATTACCATGAAGACGAGGACGACAATCACGAGGAGGCCGTGGAAGTCGCAGCCGAAAACATGAGGAGTCGACCACCTGGCCAGGAGACGGATCACCCCTCCAGTTCAGAGGAAATCCGTCTGATCATCCGCAGGTTGAAGGTCAGAAAGGCGCCGGGAAGGGACGGCATCAACAATAGGATGCTGAAGAACCTTCCCACCAAAGGCATTGCTGCGCTCACCAACATCGCCAATGCCACTCTGAGACTTAACCACTTCCCGCGGCGGTGGCGGGAAGCCCAGGTTATAATGCTCACCAAGCCAGGCAAGGACCGGAAGTTGCCCCAGAACTACCGGCCCATCAGCCTGGTTTCCTCGGTGGGCAAAGTAGTCGAAAAGGCTATCGCCGTTCGACTAGAGAAGCAGGCAGAAGAACTGCAACTTCTCCCCCCAGAGCAATTCGGCTTCAGATCCTCCCACAACACGGAACTCCAAGCGCTACGACTGACGGAAAACATCACCAGCGGCTTCAATCTCCAGGAGGCAACCGGTCTCGTCCTGCTGGACGTGGAACGAGCCTTCGACCGAGTTTGGCACGATGGACTCATCGCCAAAATGGAAGCCGCCGGAATCGATGCGAACATGTGCCAACTGATCCAGAGCTATCTAACACAAAGATGGTTCACGGTGAAGATTGGTACATGCCATTCAACAAGACGTCAGCTGGAAGCAGGCGTGCCCCAGGGGTCAGCCTTAACCCCCCTGCTCTACAACATCTATACTTACGATGTGCCGAAGACAGCTGACACAATGCTGGCCCTATATGCAGACGACACTGCTATAGCCGCCAAGCATAGACGACCCGAGATCATCCGTAGGAGACTACAGGGTGAACTGGACCAAATTCAGGACTGGTGCGTGAAATGGAAAATCCGCATCAACGTCCAGAAGACGCAGGCAATCTTCATTCAACGAAGAAGGATTGCAAGACCTCTCGAAGCATCCATCTTCGATGAAGATATCCAGTGGAGCGACAATGTCAAATATCTGGGGATCGTTTTTGACAAGTCCCTCACCTGGAAAGCGCACATAGAAGCTGTCATCGCAAAAACCAGAGCAGCCATGGCTCAACTCTATCCATTACTGGGTAGACACAGCCAGATGCCGCTAGCGACCAAGCTACGGCTGATCAAGGCCATCGCCAGACCTCAGCTCGCTTACGCCTCCGCGGTCTGGGGGTACGCTGCCCCCAGCTACCGCAAGCGACTTGCTGCTCTAGAGATGAAGCTACTCCGGATCGCCACCAATGCACCTTCCTACGTAAGGAACTCAACCTTGCGTAGAGACCTGCATTGGGATACCATCCACGAGTACATGAGGAAAAAAGCGGAGAAGACCTTCGAGAAAGCTCAGGACCACCCGAACGAGCAGCTACGATTCCTCATGGACTACGATCCGGACGAGAGGCCTCGCAACCGCAGAACCAGGTACCCCAGACCAAGGTCCCAGTTGGCACCCGCTAACTGGAACCTTGACTAGGAGACTAGGAGAACTGCGGCTGCTCCCCCCCCCCTCACCCCACGGCGTGGATGCAGAGGACCAGGAACCACCGGGACCAGGACCCACCGGGACCAGGACCAACCAGGACCAGGACCCGCCACGACCAGGACCCACCAGGACCAGGACCCTTCAGGACCAGGACCAGGAACAACATATTGGTAAGAGGACTTGAAACTCTTGATTTTTCGAAAACAAGAGTTTCAAGAGAAACTAGCAGACCCTCTATCGATGATCGCTTAACGACATCGATAGAATGTGCGAGGTAAAGGGAACCAACCCGGCGTTCCCAGAGACTGAAACACATGAGGAGACGTTGTAGCAGACCGCAGGTCACGCACAACACATGGCCTACCGAGACGCTGATGAGTCGGGCCACGCGGAGGTTTAGGGTTTAGTGGGTATTAGGTGATCTCTTCAAGACCCTGGAGCCCCACACACGTCGTAGCTCGTGCTATGGTATGGTGCGTAAATGCATTCCCCCCTCGTTAAAAAAATAAAAAAAAAAAAAAAAAAAAAAAAAAATGTTCATGTCAGTTCCTTTAGTTCTCGCTTCAGTGCAGGTACCGATATCACCATAATAAAACCGTCCAAATCGATCCCAAAACGGGTTGGAACACAATGCACAACCGTTCTGTTACTGTGACGGACAGGGTTGAAACACTTTTACCTAAATGCGCAAGCGCGTTACCGTTCCAGCACGGTTCTACGACGGGTTGGGACAAAGCTTGTGCAAACACACGTTCAACTTTGACAGCCTGTTCGACCACCGTTTTTAAATATACATACACGCGAGTGTCCAACGGCTGTCACTGCTTTTCGCTTCCCAATTTTCACCTTAGTCGGCCGTGACAGTCATCTTCCGGCAGTTCTCTGGCAAATATCTTGGAGTTAGCTTATTGGTGGAACCCATTCCCATACTCGCTGATGCTGATTGTATATGCTTCAAAATGAGCTAACACATGACCATTTGTTCCATTTAGAAAAATGTTCTCCAAGGTTGCGCCCTAACGTCATCTTGAAATTTCCAGCTGTCACGTTTATGCTAAACTACATTTTATCATCCCGAATCTCAGATTGTTAACTTGTCCTGTCCAAACAATAAAGTGCTATTTGAAATGCTCTGTATATAGACGGATGTTACAAATCGTAAGTATAACTTTTTGTTTTTCGCGTAAAATTAAGATCTAGCTTAGGAAATGGTTTGTGATTTATCTTGGTGACGTAAATTAATGAATATTGCTATAAAGTACCCTTTGAATGAGTCTTCCATAACCTGGTAATATTAACTAGGCAACAGGAGTTATGGGATAAAGCAGTCGTCGCTAACCTTTTCAGTGTGTTGAGCTACTTTGATAATTTTGGAATAAGCAATGAGCTACCTACTCGTAAGCAATGTAAACCAACCAAAATGAAATTACACACAGTTGTACTAATAAACTAATAAATAATACATACTGCATAACTACATACATTCCTACCAACCATAGGTGGTTGAAAAATAAACAAAATTGTTCGTCAGCTACAATGGCATGTCACATACCATTTGATAAAGGTAACTAAAAATACAAAAGCAACCCACTATTTTAAACAAAAGCATGTCCAGATAAAAAATGCGTTTTGAATGAGAGGCCTGACACTTTTTTTGATGTTGGGAGTATAACTTTATACCGCAATTCGAATACAGTTATCCAAATGTTCATCTGTAAGTCTATTACAATATTTGTTTTAAACAAATTCATATTTGGAAAAGAAGATTCACATAAATAGGTTGAACTAAATAACGCTTTCACTTTCAAGGCAACACGACATAAAACTGAATATTTATCTTTATTTACTGAAGGCCAGATACATTTTGTATTTGAGACTAATGATTTTAAAGCTGAATCATTTTAAAACGTAGTCACTTCCATTTCTGTCGCAGCGATGTCTTCGCTACAATTCTGCGTAACAGAAGTTGAAAACTGTTGGATATCATTTTTGAAGTTATCCTTCAAGTTAGAGACTATTTCTACATCATATTTACTGTCATATGGTTCTAATGGATTTTAAGATATCTTTTCTAAAAGAACAGGAAAATGCCTGGTATCGCCATCGATTAAGTCTTGTTCGAAAACTCAAGCTTTTTGGTAAACGCTTTTAAATCAGAAATAATTTCTGCTAGTTGTATGTCTGTCCCCTGAAGCTGTAAATGAAGTCCATTTGAATTTTTTATAATATCCAAAAGAAAACCAAAATCCCTAAGCCAGATTGAATTTTCCAGTTCCGGAATCGATTCATCACGTTGTTTGAAATATTGAACTATAGCAGATATGATATCAGTTCAGCACTCGTCCACTACTTAACCATCGGCCTTCAGAGTGAAGAAATAGTTCCCTGTATTGACAGTCAATTTCATCGGCCAAGGTTTTGAATATCTTCTTTGTAACGCTTGAGCTCTAATCTTGTTCATAATTTTACTACCAATTTCATAACGTTGTTTAGTTTTAGACAATGTCCACATAATGCTTGCTGATGGATAATGCAGTGATAACAGAGAAATTGCGGAAAACTTTCATCTTTACGACGAGACCCTTATCACGACCCAACATAGCTGGAGCGCCATTGTTTGTCAAGCTTACCATTTCCGATATTGGAATTTTCTCAGAAGAAATAATATTTTTGAAAGAAGAAAACAAGTCCTGCCCTTTTAGTGGAATAAACTTCAAAAGAACTTTAATCTTAGAATGACTAAAAACCATCCTGACGAACATCTGAGAGGTGTCAACGACATCTGTGGATTCAACCAGCTGCAGTGAAAAGTAAGCATAGTTATCGAAGTCATTTCTTAACTGTGAAACTATATCATTGCTCATTACTTCTACTCGTCTCATCACTGTATTAGCAGAAAGCTGCATAGATTTTACAGCAGACATTATTTCGTCTTTATTTCTAAAGTTGGCAAACAATGAATCTGCAGCTTCTAAAAACGTCGTTTTATCATTCCCCCGTCTTCATAAGGTTTCTTCTTTTGTGTAATTATCTGGGACACCCGGTATGATGCTTCAGTTGCAGCCTTACTTTTGTCGATTGCTTTTGAAAATACGTTGTTTTCTAATTAACTGATTTTTTAATTGTTTCAGTTTTTCCGTTCTGGTTGCAGAACGTAATGGGAATGTCTTTTCAAAATTCAAATGTACAGTTTTATAGGGCCTCTCGATATTCCCTTTTTTAGCAACGTAAACAGATGTAATACATAACAAACATTCATTTTTACCTTTAAATTCTGTAAAGAAATATTGTTCTTTCCATTTCGAATAGAAATGGTGTGTCTTCATCTTCTTACTACTGCTCATAATGTTTTTAATTGCAGGCCAACTCTAACTTTACCGCTGCACTTTGTGCCGATCAGTTTTAAACTGAGCGCACTGTTGCCGCGCCTTGCGTATTTATTCCGCTCAAAGTAATCGAGATCGCTTTCGAACAGATCGCTCACCGCAGTGTTGCTGCTGTTTGTGTTTATTATGAGAATTTACAAAATTTACGGAAACCTCTATGATTTTTACACCTTTTTAAAATATGTCGTGAACAGTATTGCCTTTGCGAGCTACCGGTAGCTCGCGATCGACAGGTTGGCGACGACTGGTATACAAAATTAGAAATGTTTAAACTACTTCAGCGATCGTCTCCAATTTTATTATGGTTATTTAGATCTATGAGACCTACGGATTTGATGAACATGTTTATGGACAGTGACCCTATTAAATACCTGTTGAAACTACCCTGCATCACCCTAAGCGTGGAAAGCGTCAAAATATAATGGATTAGTGAGATACCGGTTGATTTCCATCATTCTACCTGTAACAATAACAATGAATATACATAATTCAACAGCTGACGAGATCCAAAATAAACTAGTATCGTCACTGTCAACTACAATAAAAAAACAATTTTATTCCCGGAAACTGCAGCCGGTGAATTGAATTCACGTGCAGGCAGAAGCTAAATTGTTAATCGGTGACCGTGTAATTAATCAAATGCAAAACAAATTGGATTGCAAGCAAGCAAGTCTCTCGGTTTCGCCCCGATATAAAATATAATTAAATTCCGCATCTCTCGTTGAAAAAAACGGCGTACCTGAATTCATTACCAGCATCCCAACTATTCTACATTTCGCACGGTGGCTTGTCCGACGAGAGCGTTCGTGAATGGATGGAATAGTGCAGATCAAAATATGGTGAATGCGCCATGGATGGAGCGTTGTTGTAGTCGGCGAGTCTATTTTGGCGTTCCGTCCGCAGAGCCCCATTAGGAATTATATATATATATATATATATATATATATATATATGTATATATATATATATGTATATATATATATATATATAGGTGAAAAATTAAAGCTTCCGCCTTTTGTTGGGTACTTCGACAAGATTTAAGCAAAGAGGACTCTTTATACTTTTTTTAATTCTCTCTAGCTTTCAATGGACTTTGCCATCATCATCAGGAGCTGCAATTACAATGATAACAGTAGCAACAAAGGTGTAAAATGAATTTAAATTGACTCAACTTACAGTAGTATGTGAGGATGTTGCTAATTGTTGTTTACCATAATTAGAATCTGTGTTTTGGCCGATTCCACCAGTAAATTTCATTCCACTCAAAATATAATAATTCTCTCCTCACGATTTATTAATAATTGTTAATTTAAATTCCCATTAATAATAATATAGTTTATTCAACTGCCTCTGGTCGGTTTAACAAATTCTAACATAAAATTCTGAAAATCTCATCATCTGAAGTGATTTGGCAACGTTTTGGCACACGCCCACAATTCGGTCCATCTTTCAATACTGACATTGACATCCTTCGGCCTTCTGTCAAAGGGTTTCATGTCACTCATCATTCCATGACCACTAATTTGTGCAATCATCAAGTGGCTTCACGATGTAATGCTCTAATATTTTAAATAATTTTTAATCTGTTTTTAACTTGTTCTTGTCATATTTTATATAAGTTTGACTATTGTACAATCTATCCAGCTCTCACCATGTTACTGGACGTTTTCCTCATCCTATACGTAAACAACAATTAGCAACATCCTCACATACTACTGTAAGTTGAGTCAATTTAAATTCATTTTACACCTTTGTTGCTACTGTTATCATTGTAATTGCAGCTCCTGATGATGATGGCAAAGTCCATTGAAAGCTAGAGAGAATTAAAAAAAGTATAAAGAGTCCTCTTTGCTTAAATCTTGTCGAAGTACCCAACAAAAGGCGGAAGCTTTAATTTTTCACCTAACTGGTCTAGACGACAATGACCACGTCTCAAGTTATATATATATATATATATATATATATATATATATATATAAAGACATAGATTGGTTCAAATTTGTCCAATCTCCTAAACATCTCAAACAAGGTTATTTTTATATTAGGAGCTCAAAGTGATGCTCTGCCAAGAAAAGGTTTATGTCCACTAGAAATACATCAGATTGGCGATAGTTTCAAACGATTAATAATAATTTGGAGATAACAGAAAACAATACAATTTACTATAAGAGCTATAGATTATTATTATTTTTGAAAAAAAAGGAAATAGGCATGCAGTCACGAGACACGAAGCACCAATCTGAAACCGTTACGTCATGCCATATCAAAGATGCTGTTGACATTTTTATACAAAGAGTCTATCGTATCGCAGATATTTTTGCTGTTTAGCGGTTTTTGTCTATTAATGTGAATACATCTTTAAAAACAAATATAATTGGCCATGGAATCAGGATCCATCAAAGCAAGCAGCAGTAATTTATCCAAAAACGACGCCCTTATGCCTGAAAAATGTTCGCATCCAACACTAATTTTTATTCATCGGAATTCTGTATTATTATCAATTTCAATGTAAGTACGAGGAGGTACCCAAATATAACCGGAATCGCATTTCAGTGGGCGGAGCTTGTACACATTTCTGCCCCTAGAGGCGTACAGCGCAACTCATTACCAGTTCCGTGCCACCTGAGTTGTCGTTCTGGCTTCTTTCGTTCCTCTGTAGTCATTATTTTTGCTAAAGCTGTTTCGTGCTTGTTTCGTTTTTTACGATGGCAAAGTGCAGCTGTGAAATTTTGCTTTCTGATTGGTAAAAATGCTACTGAAACTGTTTTAATATTAAAAATAGGTTACAAAGATGATGTTATGGGAAAAACTCAGGTGTACGAATGGTTTGCTCGATTTAAAATTGACGGCATGTATTTTGAAGGAGATAAGGCTACTTTGTGAAAAAGTTGAAAATAAATAGCTTTTAAAAAATAATTCCGTTTTTTTTGGGGTACCCTTCGTATATACAAGTGACAATATATGTTTTATGTTCTATTTAGGTTTTGTAGACAATAAACCTTTACCTCGGCATGCATACGCAAGTTGATGTTAGATTTGCGCGGTATAAACATATACTCGTATAGCTAAATTTGATTTCCTCTCGAGATTCATATGGACCATAAGTTACGTGCAGCTTAAGCGTGACAGTAAAGAGTGAACAGTGTGCTACCCCAGTATATTTTACTTATATATTTTGGCAAGCAAAAACAGTAAAAACACCACTATTTTGTTCGTATTAAAATTGAATATTTATTGGGATCAACTTTGGCTACTTCACAAACATATTACACCTTGAACAACATGCACAAATCCATTGTAAATAGTGAATAATCGATTTCCAAGATTTTATCATATTTTACAAACAGCAAAAACATATTTATTTATTTATTTATTTACACCACCAACAGATAAACCAATTATTGGTGGGAGAACAGAAGTTAACATAGTACAAACCTGAAGTAATTAATATACATAAGAAATATAACAGTCACAAAACTGTCTATAGTCAACGCCAAACAAAGTGGCGTGCACGTCATCACGATAAAAATTCCCCGACCTAATGCCTAGGTTTCTATCACAAACAATTGCTCTATTGCAGTTTCATATTAATGTGATATATAAATTGTAAAATGGTCATTACTCTCTTATTATGGTTAATAGTCATATAAACATTGTTATTAAAATATCACATAAGTTGCTTTCTGATAAATTTAGACGCATTATGCGAAATAAAATGTTTTGCAAACGCTCCAATCACTTATCGACATGTAAACGCACTAAACCGATTTCGCAGCGTTGACACATTGTCACCTTGAAACTTATTTAAACTGGGAACTGACATTTGTATTAATTTTGACACTGAATCAATTTGTGGCATTTCAAATCTTTATAAATCCTTTGGCCCCGCATACTGTAAATCAACAACTGTTTGTTTCAAAACAAAATTATTCATTTTACGAGTAGATAAAGGCAATTTTGGTATATAAAGATGCCCAAACAGTTAAATAGTCGGTGTAAGGAACTCGTGGCCTCGTTAATGCACTACTTTGAGCAAGAAAGGGACAACAACGGGCCTTTGTTGCCTTTAAATGCTGTTCAAGAGGTAGGTTACTAATAATTATATGTAATGTATATTAATAATAGTGAAATTTTATTT